ATGTTTTTTCACATGGGTCAGGATTTCTATAGTTTGGTGGTATGAAGTAGATGCTCCTGTGAGTGGATTCTGAAATTTCCAGCCCTCACTGGAACCTGAGAGTCTGTAAATCTTAATTCGAAATCGCCACGCCGACAATGCATTGTAAATAAGGGGGCGGGGCCCAGATATTCAGATTAAGATTTCCCAGACTCTCAGGGCTCCAGCGATGGCTGGAATTTCCCAGGAACCCCACTCTCCCCAAGAACCTCCCAACCCCTTAACCACCAATTTATAGAAAATTCCTAACCCATCTCAAAAACATTCTTTTGTAAAATGTCGTAAGATACAATGCCGAGTCTGCAAACACTCCAACTAACACCATCACGTCAGATTACAGATATTCCTTCCGTAGCTTTTACAGTACTGTAACCCTAAATACTTTAAGCACATTGAAGTCAGTAAAAAGTTTTCTTTTAGGAAGGTTGATCTGCAAGCTTCTCTGCAATCGTCCGTAACTTGACGTGAAGGTGTTTGTGATGGTGTTTGCAGATGGAACACCAAATTTTACGAGTGCTCAAACGGTTCAAGTTTCCGGGGTTTTTTTTCAAAAACTAAAATGTCGTAAGATACAATGTCGAATCTGCAAACACTCCAACCAACACCATCACGTCAGATTACGGATTTTTTCTCCGTAGCCTGTGTTTGCAGATTGAACACCATACTTGACGACAATTCACTTTTTTTTTAAACATCAGAAAATGCTCATTACTCTTTGCTCTTCTCCCAAATTTCAAATAAACTCTCCATTCCGAAAATAGATCTTCTCAAAATCTCAAAAATCAAGTGTACTTTTTTCCTTCTTTCAGAGTTTTCCAAAATCATCGTTCCACTTACTTTTCTCATGTTTATATACAAAGGAGGATTATGTCGACCAGTGTGTCTTCTAGATTCTAGATTCTCCCCCTTTTTCAAACACGAAAAAAAGTTTTGTTTTGACAAGTGTCTCTCTCGAAACTTGATTTTTCTTCCTTTTTTTTGTCTCCACTTGTTGAAGAAGTTAGCAAAAAGGAAAACTTTACTCAAAAACTTCTTTCCTCCACAAGTACATTTGCATTTCTGCCGCCCTTCTGACCCCCAAATGGATATCTCCCCGAGGAGGAGGAGAGGTGCCATTTGTCCGGAGTCATCACTCAGTGAAAGAGTGAGAAACTCGAAGAGCTGTGACCGCTTCCTTTCAACTGCCCTCAAAAAGAAGAAAAGCTTACCCAGAGTGGTGAGAATTCCCAGTGAGTAGAGGGCCGCCGATTTGAATGACCATTGCATTCGGTCGTCTTTTACCTAGAAGGATAGGGTTACAGTAATCTTTGGGACGGCATTTTTGGAAAAAAAACGATGGATTTGAAGAGTATCGGGGACCTAGATTTGCTCAGACCTTGAAGGGAACGGTATCCCGAGCATCAAAAAAGTCTTCAACGCCTCAGTGGTTTTCTCAGGAATTTTTGGGTCAGCTCGCCGTGTTTGCGGACTAGGTATTACTGTATTCTAGAGTTTTCTGCAACACGCCCACGCAAAAATTCGGTCGGCGCGCTCCCCATGGCTGTGTGGTGTGTGGCGGAGCCGGTAACGGCCTGAGGTCTTTCAGACAGGCTACAGGTTCAACCCATGTTTTCTAGATTCCTAACAAAACCACTTAGGGAATTTTTGCTCGCACACAACGCCAAATTGCCAGAAATTAGGCAAGTTGCCTGAGAGAACGACAATGTCAGCGGCAACTTGCCGACAATTCCCTGAGCAACCCTACCTACCTTCTCCGTCAAACACCTCTCGGCAATGGCCGCCGCCACATCCGACGCCCTCGTCAACCTCAGCCTATTATCCCGATTCAGCAGTGACTCGATACACAATCTCTTCTCCAATGTCGCATTCTGCTTCATGTATTGCTGATATTCAAACTCAAAATTCAAGAAGATAAATCCGCCGATCGTCGTGTACACTATCAGAAACACTATGATGAATCCATTGACGGCGATCGCTCGACGATTGTGTTGGAGGCACTGAAAACTTGGAGTTATAGGGAAGGGGAGGTCAGGAATTTAAAAATTTTCAAAAAAAAAAAAAAAAAATTTGACCCTGGTGGGGTTCGAACCCGCGACCAAAATTTTCAAAACAACAGCGCTACCCACTAGGCCGCGGGGGCAACAATTTCCGGCAGGTAGAGGGCATTGATATCTTAGCCGCTTTCCCTACCTCCCATATCGAATCATAGTGTTGAGAATTAAAGTCCTCTTCTAGGAACGCCTTCAGAATATCCTCCTCCACCGCCTTCTTCACGTCTTCATCATCTTCTTCGTCGATTCTCATCTTCTTTTTTTACCGTCTAGACATTCTTAGGATGAGCAGCCACCAGCCAGCAAGCACAAAAGAGCAAAAGGGAGTGGTGGTGGTGGGTGAGAAAATGAATTTGTATATACAAGAAGTGTTGGAGAAGGAGGCGGAGAGAGAAAGTGAAAAGTGACAAGTCTGTCCAACAAGTCGTCATGCAAAAATCACTCTTTTGAGAAAAAAGAATAGGATACGTTGCGGATGGACATTCTCTTTCTCCGAGATTTCTTCGGGGTTGAAATGGACTCCACTGATGACGAGAAAAATGGAGAGAGAGTGTGTTGAAAGGAGAGACGGAGATGAGATTGTGATGACACGTGGCGCCATGGGTCATTGACCGATTGGAATTTGGTCATAAGAGCTCAGATGAGAAAGTTGATAAATTAATGGGTTATGCTCCAGAGGAAATTTGGAGCATATGGGGTGAGCAATAGGATCCCAATGGTTGAGGCTTCACGCATCTGGTAGAATCCGGACTTTTTCCCCAGATAAATAAGACAAGGTCCGAAGATTTTTTTGCAGTTCTTCTGTACGTGATTCAAAATTCCATCTTTTGCGGATTTCGCAGCTTCGCTGCCTACCGAGTCATTGAATGTTAACTACTGTACCTTCTAGTGTGCGCTGGAGCAAACTTACCACTTTTAATTACCAATTTTTCGCCTCGTTCAGGTGAATTTCAATTTAACGTTTCACAATAAGCGCTCTAGCGAGGATCGGTACTTCCCCTAGTTTCCCAAAAAAAATCATCCGAATTCCCAGTACATGATGCACTGATGTTGCACTTGTGAGTCACAAGTTGTGACCACAGAAGGGGGAAGAATGAAACTAAAGTTTTGACATTTTGTGACAAAAAAAGGAAGCTTGCAAATCTTCAAAGTCGGGTCATCTGATACGGAAGCTAAAATTGAGGGATGGTGATGGTCAAGCCAGCAATACAATTATTTTCGTACCTGGGGATCAGTTTGAAGATGGATATTATTCGAAAGAAGTTATAACCACATTTTTGGTGAAGCTGTGTACAGATCTACTCGGGGTCACTGAGCAATCGTAAATGATCCCTGGTTACCCTAACACTCAATCAGAGCACATAAAAATAAGAACAGAGGAAATTCAGAAACTAAGAAATTTGACCTGCGATAGTCAGAAAGAATTCTAAATTCCTTGCAACCCAATTGTCTTATTTTGCTCGCGAGATTTTTTGAATGAGATTCTGAGCCAAGCAATCATTTTCAAGGCCTGGGAAGAAACATCATTTTCTTTCATTAAAATTTTGGATTTTTCTTAAGCATCTGTGTTTATCAGAGTTATGTACAAACCAGGGGTGGGCACTTGTTTGAGGGGTCAAGCAATTTATTTGACCAAATAATGCTTGAATTTTTTTCTCAAACAATTTATTTGGTCAAGTAATATTTGAATTTATTTGTCAAATAATCAAGCAATTTCAAATAATTCAAACATGTGTTATTTTTACAAAAGGTCCCTGAAACGATAAAGTGAATTTCTCGTGTATTTTGATTTGAAGTATTTTTGCGTTTCTTCTCAAAAAATGATAGAATCAAATGAATAAAAACCAAAACTTATTTCCAAAAAATAGTCGAAATACTGTAATTTCACCGATTTTTCACATAATTTTGGTTTTAAATGCCCGCAAATTTTGCTTGAATTTGTTTGAAAAAAGTCAAATTTATTTGACCAAATAAATTATTTGATTTTAAAAAGTCAAATAAATTGGTCAAGCAGTTTATTTGACTTTTACCCCAAATATCAAGCAATTCAAATAATCAAACAAATAATTTGCCCAGCCCTGGTACAAACCCAGATTACAAGACTTACAAGGGGAATTTTTTTTTCTCACGTGGGTTAGGAATTTTCTAGGAATTGAAAGTAGATGCTTCTGTGAGTGGATTCTGAAATTTTCAGCCCTCACTGGAGCCCGAGAGTCTGGAAATATTCATCTGAATATCTGGCCCTATACAATGAATTGCCGACGTGGCGATTTTAGATGAAGATTTCCAGACTCTCATACTCAAGTGAGGGCGAGAAGGTTCAGAAACCACTCACAGATGCAGTTACTTTCAGACCACCAGTTTTCAGGAAATCCAGGACGAACCCAGGCTGTTTTTCTTCGATTTCTCAATGCTTGGTTTCAGTTGCCTGGCCTCCGAGAACACCTATGACCGAGTTTTTTGTGGCTCAGCCAGTAGTGCAGGAGCCACCAAACTAACATACACCACTTTTCACATTTTCGCGTATTTGCACCTACTGAAACACTGAACCACATTCCAGTCCCGCCATCTTCAAATTTTCAATGTTCAAAAAAAACTAACCCTTCCAAGTCCGAAAAACAGGAGAAGCGACATTCTAAACGGTGAAGCGACAGTCCTCGAAGCAGCAGCCAGTTTGCCTCCTCACAGTCGTCTTCCAAACATTTCTGAAACTGTTTCCACTCTCAATTTGAATTTGAAAACAAAAAAAAACAAAAACGGAAGTGGCCTCAAGGCCACCACCACCACCAAATGCAGTAGTGACTTTTGGCGTATGATTCGCAAGAGAAGAGGCAAAAACCTCTAAAGATGACTCCCAAGGGGGTGACGAAGAATATGAGAAACATGAGGAATTTCAGTTTCGAAAAAAGTTTCAGATAGAGATATTTAGAAATTTGTATAAAAATGATGAAAAAGTGTCGTACCAAGAGAGAAGAGCTCGCGAAAAAAAAAACAAATAAAACATGTTCTATCCTTTTTTCCACTGACATGCGTTCATGAGAGGGGATGATGGACCCCAGGCGCCATTAACTACCACCAAATCAGATTCGAAACTTCTCGTCGTCTCCTAATTTTGTGCACTATTTCAGATATAAAAAAGGATAGGAAAAAGAATTTGTTGGGCGGAGAAGAAATGGAATTCGAGGAAGAAGAAGAAATTTGAAACTCGTCCGGTGTTAAGTAATTGGAAAATTGGGTTTTGGTCAGATTCTTTGAGCTGGGAGGAGCAAGAATGGGAGGTCAGACTATAAGAGAAAAAACAAAAAGGAAATGACGAGGTGCGGAATCGAACCCGCGTTGGAAATTTTTAAAACAGCAGTGTTAGCCACTACACCACGCGTGCAACAGTTGTAGATACACGTGAGGGCAATGGTAATAATGCGTCCTCCTCCCCCTTTCTAGGACAGGGCATAGATGCACATGCACACCGACAGACAGGAAACCTATTCCAAATATAAGGAACACTGGGGCCCCTGCATAGCTCCACCCCACGCAGACTCCGCCCACTTTTCAACCTAGAATTCTCCATCTTTAAAATACTAAAGTTCAGTGTACTCTCTGGGAAAAATTGAATCAAAACTCTGGGAGATGACGAGTCAACACAATCCAAAAACATGTGAAAAATTGAATTGAAGAAGAAGAAGGGAGACGAATTAAATGAGGGACGAACCACCAGAAATCGGGGGAAGGGAAATGGGTCAGAAGATGGATGATGCCCACCAGAAAAACATTCCGAAAAAGAAAGAGCAAAAAACAGAAAAAAAAACACAGAACACAAATAATTTAGGAGGTTCCTTGTTGATTTCCTCTAATAGAGTGGCACCTCGGGATAGTCCTACCAACTCTAGTTTGGAGGAGCTCTGAGCCCAAAAAAAGGAAAAAGAAAGTGCTCAATGAGATGGAAATGTTTTCGATGATCCTTGAAAGATGCGGCGCCCCTCTTTATCACTAATTCACAACTCAACACAATGGGCTCCTTTTTTGCAAAATTTTCTCAATGAGCTCAGTGAAACGGAAAAGGGTTACCGTATTTCGAGATTTTTGAGCTTCTGCAACATTTTTTGATGAGAAAATGGGCGGTATGCTAAATCAGAACTTCCTGATTTAGAACTGTCCCATATCTCAAAAATAGGCGGAGCTAGAAAAAAGTTTTCAACTGCAAACTTGCTCCAAATTTGATTTTAAGAAAGTTTGCAGTTGACAACTTTCTTCTAGCTCCGTCCATTTTTGAGATATCTGATTTGGAAAAAGTTCTGATTCAGCATACCGCCAAAAAATGAATTAGAAAAATAAAAACAAAAACAAAAAACCTCAGAGGGGATTGAACCCCGGAGTGCAAAAGCGTTACCACCTGAGCTACTGGCCATACCGCTACTTTATCACAGATGGTCTTGAAAATCGTGAAAACATCATTTTCAAGTCCAATCTAGTTCATACAAGGACTTTTGGATGAAAAATCTGAGGTGGAGCTTTCAGAAAAGTGCTGTTTTTGTCGGAAAATGTCATGGTATTTTGCCCAAAGGGATAAAAAACTACGTAGAACACGACTATAAAATATAAAAATTTTTTTTTGAAAATTTCGGGATTCAAATATTCGAAAAAAATTGAAATTTTCGAATTTTTCCGAATTCCCGCCAAAAATAATTTTATCCAGCATGAAGGAGCAGGGTCAGAAAGCTGATTTGAACTGTGGAAATGCAAAAAATGTGATTTCCAAAAAACCTACGTCGATAGCTTTTGGGGGAAATTTTTTTTCAGGCTGAAAGTAGCTGGAAAAGGGGCGCAGCCTAGCTGTAAAAGAGGCGGAGCCAGAAACTAAATGCGCCATCGTGTTCAGGGAGTCTTATATACCTACCCTGGGAAGTATCAATGGGTTCCGAGCAGTTTTGCAAAATCCTACCGCCATCGCCTACTGGAATGCATCAGAGTTCAGAATGAATGTCCATAAAGAAGGAAGATAGGCTCGGAATGGAGAAGCAGAAGATAAGAATAACGGAAGAAAAAGAAGAGGAAGAACGGCTGTTTTTCAATGTTCAAAAACGAGGAAGAG